GAATGCATATGTTTCTAATCTTGAAGTATAACAAAGAAATGTTTTTTTTTCGACAAACGATATTTGACAACCGTTAGGTAGACGATAAAATCTTCTCGAAGGTAAGAGTTCACTAATCATGTTTGAGACGAGCTAGAAGTGAACTGTCTGGATGAATCCCACCATTTAGACTTTCGTCCACATCTAGCTATAAAGCGACACAAATACCATGGTATTTCGAAATATGGGATATGAACGGTTGGTACAAGCCATCAAGAAATTTTGTCAAATATCACTTGTCGAAAAAAAAACATTTCTTTGTTATACTTCAAGATTAGAAACATATGCATTCTGAAGAATTCGAGTAGTTTTCAGAATATTTGATTGAAGTGGAACTGGTTAAAAGACAGAGACGTTTCTCTAATATTAGTTCACTAGTATATAAAGACTAAAACAGATTCAACAAGCGTATTATATTACACGCAAAGAGAAATAGTTTTAAGGTAAGATTAGTAATGTGGATATTCCAGATGGAAGTCTTAAGCAAACGAAGTTGCTTTAGTCATACTGTTTTACTAGTGATCAAAGTCAGTAAATGCGTTGATAGTTTCAAAGCGTAGAACATTCAAAAATGGAGAGCTCGACTCTGCGACCTTATCTGGCAATATCTTGATTTTTCCACGCCGAGAAACAGTCGAAAATCGCTTCTTTCAAGTCAGAGAGAAAGGTATATTCAACGAGATATACTGGTATTTTAAAACATGAGACACGAATTGTCTTTCTGGGTCTCTTCTCAGAGCCCTATACTCAACAGCGAACTTTCAACTTTTCCTTTTATGAGTAGATGCCTTCAAGTGTTGGCTATCGAATGGTCACGATAGAAGGCTTCCATCGCCTATTTTATCGATAATTTTCCAACGTAATGAAAACTCAAAATAGTTTTGTTAAAATTTATACTAACATATTCAAAGGCAATTATTATTTATTCGACCATTCAGAGACAAAGTCTAAATCAGTATTAAGTATATTATTTAGTAGATAGCTATCTTTCCTTGTGCTGTACAGCAGTGTATCAGACGCAAATATGATTTATCGAAGACAATTCACTGCATATGTTATCAATATAGATTAGGAAGGGCAATGTATATACTATTATATATATTATATAATTGTGTATACTATCTCAAACACGTCAGATGGTGTAGGCAACAGTGTTATGGGAAGAGAACTGCTTTGTAATGTATAACCTTTCCTTTGAGGAAAGCATTTACACGTATCCTGCTTTAAATAATAATTACAAAAGATGGATTCTGGTGGTGACATTCGACAAATATGTGTAATATTCTCACTAATAATTGTGGCGGATTCAAGAAGAAGACGATAAGTTACTTAGATCTGTGATCTCATTCATGTCGAATTTAGGTGAAAGCATTTAACTTAGAATTAGTAAAAGGAAGAGTATCCACTAAAATAATTGACTAGTAGGTATAATGCAAAAAGTTCGTCCAAAATATTAGCCTTTTCCTACTATTGTAAATAAACTACTGATCAGAATATTTGAAGACAGGTATAGAACATCAACTTCCTTTCCATACACTGTGTCTTAGCAACTTCTATCAGTGCTTACTACTATCTATACCAAAATACAGTGATAGCCCTTGTGGCCTTCTATAAGTCCACGGAAGAAAGAGGTCCTCATCTGTCATGGTAGGCTGGAGTTGGATTTTGCTGGGAGTCTTGGGACTATCTGAAGCTTCCATTTTAGAATCTCCAAAGTCCATGGAAACGTAGATTTTCGACCGTGCTCTATCATGTGCCAATGTTCATCAAAAAATCTAGGAACTTAGTAAAAACCTATCGTAGGTAGGTTTTTTTCCAGAAATCTTTGGAAGTAAGGGAATGTTTTTTTTGTAATCTCAACTGCAAGATCAGATTCAGCAGACAAGGTACAGTATATGTTGAAATTGCGGAGCAGTTTGGATCGATTTCGACTGAGTCAGGAATTTTTTAATTTTCGGTGAAAATGTCCAACAATGGGTTCTTTCATCTACTATAGGTTTTCACTAAATTCCTGAATTTTCTTATGAACATGGTTATAATGTATCCATAAGATCTGATGTTATTTTATCTTCTTTTTCATGACAATAAAGTTTATAGTAACTACAGCTTGATCCAATCGATTCATACAAAAAAGCAGAGCAGACTAAAAATAATTTTTTTAATTAGTTCTGCGTTTTCTAAACGAAAAATAGCTCACAAGTGTGTTGAACAAGCGACCTACTACTCGCTCTTCGTCTGTAGTCAAATGATTTTTTCGTACTAAAATAAATTCTTGTATAACAAATGAAACGAGAAAATTTTCGATCAATTTGGCGGCAATCAACCATAACAGAAATTGCCAAATAGCACGAACAACCGTTGTATCAATCGATTGTGTAGAAGAATCTTTAATGGATGTTACGAGTACAACACGAAATGCTACAAAAACTGTTTTGAAATGTATATCTGTCGGAAATAGAAGACGAGCAATAATAGCAAATAGAAAATAATTTAAAAAACAAAACGATAATATGTAACAGAAACCGTTTAATGAAATTTTTATTGTTTCAGCTAATAAAAATGTTTTTGGATTAAATTTTAATAAATTTAACAATTTCAATATAGCTACCATACAAATAGAGCCAATAAGAACATTTACTATTTCATTATTAATAATAATTGTACGAAATGAGACATACAAACGTTGAACATCTAAATTTTTTAAAATACTATTGACTTGTAACACTTCATTATCCAAATAAAAAAATAGAAAATAATAACAACAAAGAAGTAACAATAAAATATCAATTAAATTTGCCAGTGTACGAATAAATGAAATAAAGCCAGTAAAACCAAAATTTCTTGTATATTTTCCTAAATATGAAATATAAATCTCAACAAATAATAGAAGATAAATTTAAAAACCATAGAATTTTATTGATAAAAAAATTTCCTTTGAACGTATGAATCATATGTTAAATGAGTTTTATAACATTAAATTTTGAAATATACAGACCCATTATCTAACTCACAGAAAAGTTTCTAACATATTTACATACATTTAAAAAATACATACTAAAAGCTTTTTGGAGATGTACCGGTTAATAAATAACAATTTTTTTCAAAAATCTGTTTTTACCTTATTGCTTTGGATTGATCGTAGATACCACTGAAAACAGTTTAAAATACTAGTTCAGTTATTATTGTTTGAAGTCTTCGCAAACAATCAGTAATTTTGAGAATTACAGCAGCCGAGTAGAACAAGACAGTTCTGGTAAAAGTTTAAGCCTCATTAGCATTTGATTTGGCGGAATTACAGCGCAAGCAAAATTTTCGACTGGAAAATCGCTTTTTTTCCGTATTTTACGACCTTTTTTGCAAGCGCTCTGTCATCGACAAAACTAACTTATGAGACTAGTGGCTCAGTTTGGACTTAAATGTGACAAAGCGAATAAAAAATATGAAGATGTAGCACAAAATTTAACATGTGTTTCATAAAAATATCGGAAGCTTAGCGTTGTATAGTTAGAACAGATGGTGACAGTTGAATAATCACAAATGAAATCAAAACTGAATGCAGGTTAATGATCATACTTAAACATTCAAATCTGATGCAGACATTTGTGCTGCCGTTCGTGTTTTTTTTTCGATACAATTTACTTTAAAAATTCAGTTTGGAAAGAAACTTAAAAGAAATGATTAGAGATCTTGCACATAGTCTTACATTGTGCGTCTAAACTTCATAGAAGCACTAAAAATATCTCAAACTGAAGGGAAAAGTGTAATGAAGATGAGATGTGTTCGCACTCTACATGATCTTTCGTTGAGAAAGTATGGTAAAAATACAAACACATGCTTTTAAAGTATCTAAACTATGGAAAGAGAAGATATTCGGAAGGTCATGAAAACCTTGAAAGATAATGTCTCTTCATTGCGCAAATAAAAATGAGTCTTTCAGTTACTCAAAAAATTCGAAGGTCTCAATGATTTGTTATGGGACGCCAAATGTTGCCTTTTCAGTTGTATTTGAATGCTTTTAAGTAAGTTACAAACTGTAACTTACAACTATAAAAAAAACTCGTTCGTCTATTTTTCTGACAGAAATATTTACGAGAACCATAACGATACAAAGAGAAGGCGTCAATTTTTAGAAAAGTTTCTCATATCATGTCTGATTCAACGGAAGCAATCTAGCCAAAAATTTTTGAGAGGAATCACATGGCATTAGTCAGAAAAAAGATAAATACAAAATAGGGAGACTATTTGGTTTTTTGTAAGGGATTCCCCCTTTTGAATTTTCTTTAGATCGTCCAATGATCGTCGTCGTGTTGGTAGTGGATATTTCGAAATATATGTTCTGAAGTTTTTTTGGTTTAGTGATAAAAAAACAGAAAATTTTTTTATTCTTTCTTTCTCATTAATAAACTGACTATGAGTATTTACTATTAATTGACACTATTCTACTTCTGTACTAGTCGCACTTGTAAAATAAGGGAGCATTGAAAAATTCGAGCAATACCTCATCTAGCAGAGACTTTCACGGGCTACAAGACAGGCTTAACAACATTTTTATAAATAATCAATTTTTTCTCATCCAGATAATGGCGGTAAATCAAAAGCGCTTCATGACATATACTTGTGTGCTGTGTAGTGTGCTCTATAAGCTAGGAATGTTTGAGGAAAAAATTCAAGACTTAAAAACTTTGCTATTATCTTACCGCAAGAAGATTTTTCACAACACCGTACGCCAAATTTCACTCGAACCAGCATTTTCGATCAAAACTCTGACTACAGAAGTTGCTCAGAATCAAATTTTGAAGTCCTTCACGAGACACTTTTTCGGAACTTTTATCTTTTTGGTTTTAAATTTGAAAAATATGAAATTTTAAAACATGAGAAACAGTAAAATTCAATTTTAAAATCAAAAAACAGAAAATTTTTAAAACGTCTCTTGAAAGGCTCCAAAATTCGATCCTGAACAACGTTTGTAGTTAGAGTTTGCTGCAAAATGCTGGCTCCGAACGAACTTTTTTCAAAATACTTATCACTCTTAATTTTTAGGAAAATATACGCGAAATTTTGGTTTTACTAGCTTTATTCCATTTATCCGTACACTGGCAAATTTAATTGATATTTTATTGTTACTTCTTTCTTTTCGTTCACACTCTATCGGGAACGGTGAAAGTAAAATTTCTACGTCAGACTTCATTCGGTAACGACAACAATTTTCTGTCCGTTCTGTCCAATTTAATGCCCTCTATCAAATTACGCTAGAATCGATTCTTCATATCAAAAACTGAAGTTTTCATTGAAATTTTCAAAATTTTTTTAATCAAAAACTACAAATGCGGGAGCCGAAAGACATTTTGGAACACATACTTCGAAGTGTCCTCTATACATTGGTCAAGAAAACTGGATCCGACGACTCGTTAATGTTTCCACATTTATTAATTTGTAACTCGTATGAATTTGTTAGACCGCTCTTAAAATCTTTGCACGTATTAACTGGTCGATAAATTATTTTTCAAATGCGTTAGTTAATTCAAGCATTTGAATGTATTAACCTCTAATCAATGTGAGCTCATCTCTAAATACATTAAACGGTCGAAAAACATGCATTCGAATTCATGAAATTATTAGACGTTTGAATGCGTTAGTTTTTAAGGTATTCAGATGTATTAATTTGATAAAATCATGATTCTCACGCATTTGAAAAAGTCTAAGTTTTGATGTGTTAATTGATAAGGCATCTGAAGGTGTTGAATCTGTAAAAATGAATCTGCTCAAAGGAAATTTTCATAGCAAAAAAATTCAATTGGAAAGTGCACTCCAAAAATATATTAGAAGATTTGCATGATTTTCTATATAAAGAAAATCTTCTAGATTTACCTAAAGCGAATAATTTGATAGCAAAAATGACTACGAGTAATGCAGCAAAAAGATAATTTGTTAAAACTGGTTGACGTATTAAATTGTTATTAATAACAGAATTGGTTGGAAGAATAGTGGTGTTTATTGTTTCTAGTGATACATCATCCGCTGATAAAGAATAATCGCTTACTTCTATCAATATTTCTTTTGTTACTGTACCATAAAGATCTTTGACTAATGTTAACACGAATGTAATGAGAGAATTTGCTTGTGGACTGTAGAGATTACCTTCAACTGTGAATACAATCGATCGATTATCCAACCATTTATCATCCCATAATTCATAATAACGACGTTTTCGAGAGCACGTGAGTACAGTTTCTTTCGGTAATAAGTAGAATATATAATAATAGGGTGATTCATAGGTTGAATAAAGTTTGGTGATATGTTTATAGGGAACAGGTTGCCAAAGGCTAATTTCATTCGGACAAACACCTGCACACACTGTTAGAATTGTCCATGCTGTACAATTCATACTGTCAGATATGACTAATGATGATTTTGACATTAAGTCATGAGCATCAACAAAACAGAATTTTATACCTTCACGAAATAATTTTATAATTTTCTTCCGACATTCTTGACGATTTACACGTATTTGCAGAATACGTACACTTTTACTTAAATATAATGGACTATCGGGAATCGGTACATAGTTACATTCTTCTTTTGAGCATGTATAATCATCGAGTTTAACAAACAGACGGTTTTCAAGAAAATATCGAACCCAATCAAGACCTAAATGCTCTGAATATGTTGAACAAAAGAATGATAAATAAATTTGCTACAACTCACCTTCGTGAATTTCTTCTGTTCCTTGAAATACACCTTCACGTAATAGTAACTGAAATGTATATTGTTTTAGAGCCAATCGTGTTTGAATATGCTGCGATCTAAATGCATTCAATAACAAATATGTTTTAACTTCATTCTGTTTTCTAAATTGAATGAGAATAATTGAATCGCTGCTTCATCTATACCCGAAAAGTCAAGATACAGGAACAGTTTCCAGTGTTTTATTGATGCTCCTTAACAATAGAGTCATGATACCGATGAAGAAAAAAGAGTGAAAAATGTCTGACATCTTTTTAACAACGGCTATGAGAAGCAAAAGCAAAGGCCAAACTTTTTTGGAACGGTACTTTTTATCTAGTAAGTTCATGAAAGACATGTCATTCGATGTAGCTCAATTGTTATTTATGTTATTAGTTTTGACAAAAACCTATTTGAAAAATCTACACTTTTACTTGAAGAAATAGTTGTATCATTCTACAAAGAATACATTAACAAAGCATGGCCTGGCTTGGAGACAGAAAAAATGATGGCAAATAGGTTAAAACTTCACTCTAACTTGTTGTACCTATGTTCATTATGTGTTTCATAATGTTTGCTTTATAACTAAAAATTAGTACAATAAGAAAGATGTGATCATTCATTTTCCATCTTTTTTATCTTGTCGGTATTGTATGGTATTTCTCTATCGTCATGCTCGTGACATGTAACCGAGAATGAATCACTTTACATGTGTCTGTATAATTATAAAAAATAGTAAAATTAAAGTACGAATTATGACTATGGTCATTCGTAATGTCTTTTCATCGTGTCGAATGTAATACAAAATTTAATTTCTCTTCATACTGGAAATTCTACAATGTCGAATTGATTCATTAAATGAATGGTATGAAAATGTTGATATAAATCTAGAAGAACTATTAGAAGATTTATCATTCGTTGTTGCAGAAAATGTTAAAGAGAAAATGATGATGAAATAAGATAAGATAGAGAATGCTTGCTGATGTTTTTATTAATTGTGTTTTGTTACTTGAGTAAATATTTATTTTTGTTGGTATATTCTTCCCATGTCTCGTTATTTTAACAAAACTGGCGGTAAGAACACCGGCAGTTTTCTGCCACGACGAACCCCAACGAGACATGGGTTCTTACAGAAATTTTTTAGTAGGATATTTTCTGCTAGGTATTTTTTGCTATATACAGTTCTTCTTACTATAGATCATAAAACAGATTTGTTATTGGGATTCGCAGTTTCTTTAAAATGGCAAAAACTAAAAATCTCCTAAGTTGTAATATTCTAAAGTATAATCCTGTACAACTGTTTTTCTATCTTTTGTGTCAAATTTAATCAACCTGATATAACATACATAAACTACGAAAATAATCCACTATATATACACGAGAAAGAGCGGAGAGGAACGCTGATGTAACGTACAGATGATGTACTACACAATAATGATGAAACACGTGTGCTAATGGAAGTTTCAGAATACAGAGATGATGACACTTTTAGAAGAATGATGCAACGCACTGAGCGCTCAGTATAATATCTTAATACTGTATCATATTTCATAGATCTCCCTGACCTAACAAAAGTGAAAATGTCGACTGATAATTTATAGTAAGAAAAACTGTATGAAACAAAAATGTCCGAGAGAAAATATTTAACCAGCAAACATTATCTGCCTTATCTTATTCCATCATCATGGTAAACCTTTTCACTATTTTTATAGCGTTTGTTTAAGGAATCAATTTGACGAAACATTTAATTAAATGCCAAACATTAGGATGATGTTTATTAACTCAATTATTAAATCTATTATGCCATCCAGCACGTAATGGACCTGTTAAATTATCCTTTAATACTAAAAAAGAAAATATATAAGAAAGTCCGACAGAATTATAAAGGTACGATTCGATAATAAATGAATAACACATCGATATGCTGAAAATCAAATATTTTTTCAATATTATCAGCTATACAAAATTGTGATTCATTACTATGCCTTTATCGTGTCTCATAGCATGCATGGTATAAATTTGATCAAAATAGAATAGTATAATAATTAATTGTCTTATGAGAAAATAAATATTGTTTTTTTCAATTTTCGTGAGGAAGGTTAATGACATTTTATAAGAGAGAATTATTCTATAAAATATTGTTTTTAATCCAAATTAATTTGGTGCCATTCAACATTTCGAGAAACTCAAACATACCATAAAGGAAGAAGTTTTGGAATTCAATTAGATCTACGAATACCAACTGAAAAGAAGTTTATTTAAAACGAAATAGTATGAAATAAATGATTTGTATGTTTCATTAAAAACTACGTTGTTTACGAAACTATGAAGTATTGACATGTGTGTGTGATACTTGAGAAAAATAGAAAGACGAGTTTAGTTAAGTTTGTTAACGGCTGCTCTGAAATAACTTACCGTCAAAAATAAAGATACTTACGTTTCCATAAAAACCTGAAAAAAAAACTTCATTATTAGAAGTTAAACGCGAAAAAGTAAAATAGCAGTAAACTTACAAGTATTATAATAACAAAAAAGACAATATAGCCAAGAACATCTATCATTGCTCTTATAATCGAACTTTCTAATATTCGTTCACGAATTCGTGTTTGTAGTTGTTTACGTGTTAGTATTATGTCACGAGAGAGTCCCGATGATACATTTGATTTTTGTTGTGCGATATCAATTAACGATGTTGTAGGTATCTAAACATCATTTTTTTTGCTGTTGAAAGCATAATTTAAATTCTTATCTTATTTGAGTGCTTACTTCCACAACATGAGCTAGAAAGTAGAATTCATCAGTAATATGAAATAGCCAACCATTTGCTAGCGATATAAAACTGATAATAAACACGTCAAATATTAAGGTGAACAGAATCGTCAAAATATGTGTCAGTAGAATAGTACCGGTAACAAAATAATTATCTGTTTGAGTAAATGTTTCTAATGTAGCAAACATGAAATAAAATGAGAAAGACGTTAACAGTCCCATACTACCAAAATACACTAATCGACTAAATAAATAAATATTTCGTGATGGTTTTTCAGGTAATTTGAACCTGCAGGAAAGAAAATAATAATTATAGTTCATATAGTTAATCAAAAAGTACTACTTGACAAGTAATTTGGTTAGTGTTAAATGAGCATTGGGATGAACTATCGCAGATTTTAGATTCGACCAGTCATATTCTAATATTGACTCGTTTTCTGGCATTGTTGTTGAAATGTTTGAATGCCAGCTTTCTTGCGTACTGATATTTGGCAATGGAGATGAGACTGAATTCGCATTGATTTCACATTTTTCTCTTTGATATTTCCGACCGATTACGTTGAATTGATTCAACTAAAAAGAAGTGAGAAGAAAATAAGTCTGTTAATGCTATAAACTGAAAATTCACTTACATTTCTTGCCGTCGTAGTAAAGACATGTGTATTTTTATCGTCCATCAGTTTTGTTTTCATCTCAGTTGTTTTACCTGTAGCTCGAATTTGTTGATTAATGTCCGTTGAACTTATTGATAAACGATGTTTAAGATCAAATTTATGTACAAATGAAAATTGTTCCGTATCCGATTGGTAATCAACAATGTCAGCTTGAATACTGGCCAAAGCGAAAAATGTCGAATGAAGATTATCAAATGATTTCAAATCATCATGTGCCCCATCCATTTGTTCATATAATATCCATTTAAATGTAATAAATTCGTAGAACCATATAAAAAACGGTGTAATTATTACAATACAAAGACTGAGTAATAATGCCAATGATAAACATGGAATAAAATTTATTGTTAACATATAATAGAAACGTTTTGATTCAGCAATAAAACTTTGATTGACAATAAACAAAAATGGAAAAATAGTTTTTGAATTTGGATTTAAATCTTGTTTTTTCTTACATACTGTAATAGTAATCATGGTTAAAAACAATTGTAATAATAGAAGAAAAAAATATAAATGTAGACGACCCATACGAGGAAAAGTGGATGGTTTTTGTTTGAAAAATATTGAATTAAATAAATGATAATGGTAAAATAACCAGCTAAATGTGGATACAAACAAATGACCAAATGAATGCCTGTAATATAGAGAAAATAAAAGAATAATTAAATATCAAATTATCAGTTAGAAAAACTTACATGTCAACTTCTTGAGCTTGATAAAACACATCGTTAATAACGCTATCACCTTTATACGATGATAGCCATGCATAACAACAAAAATACGATGAATGTTGTCGTTGATAATCGTATACAATACAATGTCGAATATACCAATCAGAATGTTTTCCCATTTCATTTTCCCAAAAATTAATTGCACGTAATGGACCTGAAAATATTTTTCTTTTTTTGTGTATAATGTTGAACGAGTATAATAATTATATTTTACCTAAATCGATAAAAGACGTTATTAAAAACTGATCGACTGCTCCACGTTGAAATGTATATTGATCATCAAGATTTAGACAATGTGCAATATCTATTCGATTTTGACCAATAAGTCGTACGAATATTTTTGCATCAGATGATGCGCTTTGTTGTAGACCGGTGAATATTGACAATTGATAAAAATAAATGGCTAAACAACAACAGATAGTAGTTATAAGTGTAGAAAATAGCGATAATTGAGAGACAGACTGTTGAGGATGTAAGACACGTAATGAAAGTTCGTACATAAACAACAACGTAGTGCAGAATTACATTGAAATTTTATAAATATTTTGGAGAGAAGAAAGAGAATGTTGAGCATAGAATAAAATATACTTGCTCAGTTCGAAGTGAATTATTTCGAATTTTTTAGGTAGATTTGGCTCAAACATCAGACAAGCAGATATCGACAGTATTTATGTTGATTACCTGCCACTTGATTATCAGCTACAAAGCTTACTAAAGGACGATATTCTTCTAGAACATCGGCATGTATTGCATATATGGCCAATAATAAATAGATTAATAGAATTATTAAAATGTAGATAAAATATCGGATCCATATTTGTTCAAGAACTTCAAATTGAACATTTAATTGCATTAAATTGTTCAATATAAAATAATTACTCAATTTTGAACAATAACATTCTAAACGAGGACCGTTAAATGATTCATTTGTAAATATGGTTAACATAAAGTCTTCATTATGTAATTGACACGTTTGTTCAAATGAATTAAAATATTCTTCAGAAATTTTAGTTTGAAATGAATAACAAGCTGTTTCAAGAACCATAAATGTGGCTAAACGATTTTTTCCTCTCAATTTTTGTGATATCACTCTGACTTGTGCACAGACTAAACTATTTGATTCAACTGGTAATGATTGTACAAAAAAATTTCGTTCTGTTAAATCACCATCAAATGTATATGTTAATAATTGTAAACGATCGATGATTTTAGCATTAGAACAACTCGAATTGTAAACAAGACCTAATTCAATATGATAGATAGAATTCGGTAGATCATAAAAGAGTAAAGTCAAATTTTTTGTTAAGGCCGTCGTATTCATTTGAAAAGCAAAATTATGACGATAAAAATTTTTATTCATTTTAGACAAAGTCATTTTATATAGATATTTTATTGTTGATACGGTGGGTTTATATAAATAGGGTTGAGTGAGTGAATACTGAATGAGAATGGGAATCGACAGCGTCGAATTTGGCTTGATAATCGATATTAATTGACCCACAACATGATTGACATTTTTAAATGAATTTGAATAATATGGAACATATTCTTGTGGATGATAAATTAAATCTAAACTCGTTACAGTTGTCTGACCTGAACAAAAAAGCGTATCGAACAGCGAATATAAATATTATTTAGTCTTTGAGTTAGTTGAATGTGATAATTTCTTTATTCGTTCTGCAATTCTAACAGGTCAAATGGTAAATATATCCAAAACACTTTTTTCTTAGAATATATATCGGCGAAATACAGAATTATGGAAACGATTTGTTTTTAACGTTTTTTGCTGATCGTCATAGTCAGAACAAATCCGAAAAGTGATTTTAACCCTTTAAAACCCAATGTTCATTTGAATGGACATTGCCATTATCATTATAACAAACTAAGGAAGCGTGGTTGGGAAATACTGATCTTATATTGGTTGTAGAGAATTAAATTGGCTATCGAATGGTAAAAAGAATTTTGTTTATGTTGTATGCTAGCTGAGATATTCAAATTTTAAAATGAAGAAGATTTAGAAAAAATCACTTTTTTTAATTTACTTTTTTCAGGTACTTTAGAAAAGGCTGTTTGTTCAATGACTTTTCAGAAATGTGTTGGGAGATGTGCTCTTTCAATTATGTCAGGTGAATAAATTACTGGTGGAAACTGTAGGCTGCTGATGGTACAAAACGAAAGGGCATAGTTTGTTGGAATTTCGGGCTCCGTTTCTTAATCATTCTTGATTTTCTTCACCATCTCAGCTCATTTTCTGTCGCAACTTCATCAAACATAATGGTCTAAATTTAGATACCTTTGATCTTTCGTTTCTAACGAGAATTTTCGAAAAATAGTTATCCTCAAATTTTCATTGTAAATTTAAATTATACAAGTGTAACCTACTTAAAAATGAAAAATAATTTTTTTCAAACGTGAGAAAGCCATACCGAGGTCTCATATGTTCCATGTTCATAAGCGATTGGCTCAGAATCAAGCGTTGAAGTCTTGGGGACTTAAAGGGTTAATAGCTGTTAGAGTTTTCATCAGAAGCGATGTGTATGCAAGTTTCATTAAGATTTTCTGATATGGTGTCTCTGGAAAAATAGAATTCTTGGAAGCCAGATCTTCAGATTCAATCGAAAACTTTTTGAACACATCTTTGCCGTATAGAAGAAACTTCACGGGAGAAAATGAGACGTCTCTCAGCTCTTCACCATATTCTTATATTAAACTGGATTCATTCACTATTCAGAAAATGTCAGCTCGTCAAAATTGACACAATGAATAGAAAAACAACAAAAAATGACTTTGGGACCTTTCATATGATGAATGAATCAAGTTTAATATAAGAATATAGCGAAGAGCTGAGAGACGTCTCATTTTCTCCAGTGGAGTTTCTTCTGTACGACTAAGATGTGTTCAAAAAGTTTTTGATCTGAAGACTTGGCTTCCTAGAGTTCTATTTTTCCAGAGATACCAAAACAGAAAATCTTAATGAAACTTGCGTACACATCGTTCCTGATGGAAAACTCTAACAGCTGTTAAAATCGCTTTTCGGATTTGTGTCGACTATGATGACCGAGCACAAAACGTTAATAACATAGGACCGTATACTGTTAAAGATTGAAAATCAGACTTACGTTTATCTCTACGGTAAATTTTGTCGTCTGACAGACCCTGTTTTGCGCTATATATGGACGTCTTCTGACGATTAAGAAACAGAGCCCAACGTTGTGTTATAAATGGTGCTTGAACATCTAATAATAATTCAAAAAATGCTCCACGATGACTTTTAGCATAATTTTGAGCAACAAATTCGTCATGAATAACTGTTGTTAAATTATTTAAAATAAGACCAAGTTCCACGAGCGAATTAGCATCAGTTGTATTAGGCACGGGCATTGAATAAGCGATAAACGTGTGTAAATTTTCAATAAGTAACAAAAGTTGTTCCAGAAAATGAATAGATTTTTGTGGTAAACGATATGTTAAAAATTTTGTTATATGTCGCAAAAAATGGTATCCATCATAAACAATCAACTCTGGCTGTTTGGTTAAATCAATTAACAGTAATATATATCGTTGAAAGACGATTTCATCTTGATACATTAATTCTAATTGTTTTATATTTTGCGTTATAAATGAGTAGGTAGTTTCAGCAAAATCTACAGAATAAAGTAACAGCAAACGCTGATAATTTTGTCAAATTCTATATAAGACATTCTATAATTTCTCCCCCCCCCCCATACTTGATGAAAATTCAATTCCAAGGACATATTCGGAATCTACTCGTCGAACTCTATCTGACCATGTATATTTCAAGGAAATCTATTTTTGTGTGCCCCTTTCGAATTTCCGGCACCTTACAATACTAGTATTGTTCTTCGGAAGATGAAATACATATGAACTGATATTTTAAAATTAACCCGAAGTCGCTAGCTGTTTTCTGAGAGGAGAAATGTGTCGGACGTTAGATGTTTCATTTTGGCCGTTACTTAGGCGACATTTATTGAACGACAGTAGGTTGAGTCTTCATAATTTTGTTGTAACTACTCCCCGACATGACCAGCGTTCTGCGACGTTTGGTCCAGCTTAGACTTATAATTACTGAGATAGGGTTCTGACCCGAGAAGGAGACTCTAAACACATATTATATATGCTAGCATACCTTGTGTTCTCTGATATAATCTTTGATCCTTCAAATATCTTAATATTAAACGACAGTAATCAATGAAGGACAACAGAAAAGTTGTTGGTGTTAATGATGAAAATTTAATCCTGTCATCATCCTCATAGAAACGATAAAATTCTGACTTATACATCTTTAACCATGATTCTATTAATTGATATGCATCAAAGAAATAATTCCACATAACAGCACTATTTATTTTTTCAATCATTCTATTATCAGGATTTGTTGTAAGAGCATACAGTGTATAGGTAGCATCCATTTGTGGAAGATTGACTTCTAGAATTATGGTATTTCCATTTAATTCATCTCCTTGAGGCAATATGACACTTTGGGTTGATAATTTGTCTAACTGACTGCGATTGAAATAATCAGGATTCACCCAAATTTTCACAGTTACATTATCTAAAAAAAATTTATAGTTTTATTTAATTCAAGCCGTTAGACCATAAAACTAAAAGCATCTCAGTGTTACGATCTGCTAGAGAAATTTGAAAATACCACCGACTAAAAACAAAAAGATTCTTCATATTATGTATTATGCTGATGAAAAATAAAAATTACTTTTCACTAAGAATTGCGTATGTACTTTTCCTAAATTGACTACTATAGTCGCAATAACAGTGAATAGTATTGTGTTCTCTTATGTTGACATCTAAAAGAATTCAAAGGTTTATTTACCTACCTAGTTTAGTTAGTGCCCAAATAATGACATCAGCATTAACATAAGATGACAAACATGATACGCCTAATAAATCATGATAAGAACGAACAGTACTGGTTGCTAATGAGCAGTCTAAAATATCCGGTGATTTATGTTCAATAATATGTAATTCAATGTTTAATGAACTGTTATATGTGGCATTTATGCACGGAATATTTGCTCTAACAACTTTGTTCATAAATGAAGATAAATTCCATTGTATAAAATGAGTTAATACGGACATATTTCCGAAAAAAAATGGAGCTACAGGTATGGAATTTGTGGTGGTTTCCATAATGGAAAAAAAACAGTGCGGACAAAATAATGTTTGCTTGTGTGTACTATAATTTCCATAAATTAAGAATAACGTTGGTGATAACTCAAAACAATATTTACGACAAATTAAAGTACACATTGATTCTCTATCAGTTATTATTTTATATTTTCTTCTAAATGGGTAGTAATCAGAATAAAATAAATTTACTTCAACTATCGTACCGCTAATCATATGTGTAATATCGAAAAAATGACCATTAATACCCACAATCGTGAGTTGATGTTTGATTATCTGATAATAGTCATCTATCATGGGTTTCAAAGCAACAGCTCTAGGTAGTGGTTCTGGAGGGGCTGGCACGTATACAATATACTGCCACGGAACCAAATTCACTGGAATGAGAGTAACGCGTGGGTCCTGTGCACTATCACTAAATGAACAAAAAAATCGATTAGACAGCAATTATTCGGTACCTGTTCTGAGATATCTGTAATAGAATTTACAATTCAAACGAATGGAATTATCGAGAGGACTCAATGGTTTTGTATCAAGGCTACTAGTGTTTTTAGTCAATTGCATTATGCTACCAATGATCTCCTCTTCGATTTTAGACTATTGGTTTATTGCACGATTGTATTTGACGGAGTTCTGGCATTGTATGGTATCTCTGCTGTATCGTTGTTCATTCATCTCTAATAGAAACGGGCTCCACTCATGATTATAGAACAAATGAATAGTTTCAAAAAAGATCTTCTCTTTTTTAGGAACGATTGTTCAGAGCTATAAACGGTCTCACATTGTAGTCCAAATTTTCAGAATCAAGTGTACTGAGATAGTTTTTAAATAACTCCATAGAGAAAACTCACAGAGAAGCTGCGTTTTTACTATTCTGCAGAGAGGATTTTGCATTATCTTCTCATATATTTCATGTATTTTGAATCTCTCTCAGTGAGTAATGAATGGTTTGATTTTTCATAAAAATAGTTAAAAATCGGTTATATCACCGAACATAGATTACAGCTTTTTTGCGATTTTCAAATATATACAAAGATAAGCAAAGTTTTTCCCACATAATAGTAAAAAATGAAAATTATCGTTTTTCTTGGTGAATTTTAGAAAACACATCGCAGAGCACTATGTTTTGAAATATAGAGTGTATTCCGACCGCTTTCTTGCTTCTTGCAAAAGAAGAAGGAATCCTTCCAGATATCAGAAATACTCTACAAGAACAAAATCTTCTCCTACTTGCCAAATCAAATGATATATTTTTTTTTACATTCTTTTTTGTACAGTTTAGAAATGAGATGTCCAAAATATTAGACTCCAAAATGAGATGTCACCTTATGTTTAAAATAATTTCCAGAAGACTAAACTAATAAAGTTGAACACTTATCAAACACAAAATGAGTTAACAAAAGTAACAGAATATTTTTTAATTTTCTACAATACTGTTCAATGTTGTTTCAATGTTTATTTTCTCCTTTTTTTTCCGTCACATTTATCTATCTCGTCATTTTAATCCTAATCGTTGAATTATGAGACACTCATAGTTAGCATTCATTTTTTCAAGAGTTTCGTAACATAAACTCAGATCCAAATGTTAGTATCAATAATTCTGCCTATGTCCACATATGAATCCATCGATTTTATGAAGTAACTTTTTCTAGAATCTCTCATCATAAATATCTGAGATTTTTCAGATATGGAAGAATTTTTGAAGACAAATGTATTTCACAATACAGCGGTATGACTAATAATCGTTGTTAGAGTTACTATTTGTTGAGCTATCAATTATCAATATTTAAATTATTTTTCAATTTATCATGCTAAAAGATGTTCAAAAAAAGTTGAAAATGAATAGAAGTCCATGTCATAAATGTTTTTTAAAGCTAATGTATACGAATAACTTTCGCCATTTCAAACATATTTATCTTTTGTCATTATTTTCTTAATTTTGATGAAAAGATCAAACGAAAACTGATATAGATGTCATTCAAGCAGCAGATTTATTGTTCTGATTAACTGTCTTATTATGTAATAAATTAACTTAACTTACTTATATTGTGTGAAAATCGGTGTATTCGTTACAGGATCAATACGCAACCAGAAGATACTGATTGGCATTGACATCGCTAATTTTCTTTGTCCACGAATGCAATTTTGTGAACATACAGTAAATTTTTTTGATGTAATTTCCTTTTCATTTAGACACCTAAATATTCAAATATTATTTCATTTGATATCAGCATAAATAAAAAAGCATTTTTTTGCACATACGAAAAGAAGTTATTATGCAGAAAATAAATAACTTACGAGACATTTTCACGAATTTGTATAAATGGACCAATGAATTCTTGTTCTGTAATTTGTGATTCATATATCTTATCGGTATTTGCTGTTGGATCATGATAAAATTTTGAAAATATTGTAGAAAGACTTTTCTCTGTTTCTAGATCTATTGTAGCATTATTTTCAAATAAACGATAAGTATTCAATTTACATTTGAATTCATTTATACGACACCCTGTTGGATCTAAAACAAATATAAATAAATAAATATTAAAACTTTAAAACCAAGAAAAATAACATCGTTGATATGCGTCTACTATCTACCACACAGTGAGCAGTTTTGACTAGGCACGTGGACATGTGCTATAAAAGTAATGTCTAAACACTATTTTTGTAGGTTTTTGTATGCGCTCTTTCCAATGGTGCAATTTGCAAGTTCAAAGATGTTATTATTAGGGTTTTCTAGAGATCCGGACTCTGAAAAACCCGACTAAAAGTGTTTTTGAACATTTTAAATCCCACCATTGGAAAGAGCGCATACAAAAATCTAAAAATAGTTGTCGTGGGCTTTCAAGCTGCTTCTAAGGCAAAAATCTTAGTGCCTAGCCAAAATTGCTACGGGAATGCTGCAAATCTGTCATTTCATTAAATCAAATTATTTTTTGCACATAAAAACATACAACTAACATATCATTCGAAGCAGTTCGATGCGCTGATTCTAAATAGGTCATTTTTATCGAATAATAACATTCCTGAGCTGAGAAAAATAGAAAATACCTGGAAAACCATGGGTATTTTGAAAAACCTGCTGTACGGTGCATTTATGCATGTTTATCCATTCACCATAGTTGGAGGATAAGCAGAAGAACATTCTGTGAAAGTCTGAGAGTTTCGAGTTGGGATGTGGAGGGTAGGTTCATTTTACTGGAGCTATCCGTATGAGAAAGTACGTAAGCGCAGATGGAAAAACTTTTTTCCTAACAGAAATGATTAAAAAAAGCTTTTTTATGAATCCCTAGAGTGACAAGTCTGGTCTGAGAAATATGGACGAATTTTAACATAATATTTGCTTCTGTGGATGCTACCGAACCGCTTTTCTAAGGTTCTAAGTTTCAATACGAAATTTTCATTAAGTGTTTTCTCACCAATTACAGCACATAGAATAAATAATTTTTTACCATTAAATAGCCCGTGATTCAAAGTATACTTGACACTATTTGAATTTAGAAAAATTACGCTTTCATTTTTCCACCTAATGTCCACGTGGGTGGACACTGTGTACCATTTACTCGGATTTTTGATTTAGTTCCATGTGATTATAATCATACCCTATCTGTCATAATAATAGTTCAAAAGTTCAAGAACGAGACAGTACATGTGATCGTGGACGTGATTAAGGAAATGGAAAACAATCAAAACAAAATTATTCATTGTCTATTATGCAGTTTTAAGAGTACACACAGCACAGCTCCTATTTTCCGTGCTGATTAATAAAACTGAAAAAGGGCGTATTCTGATCCTCAACAGGACTTAAGGACGTGTCATTCGATGTTTAATCATCTAACGGGCGAATAAACAAGAAAACATTTCGCCGTTTTCTGCCCGTTTCTTGCAGTTATCTACATAACTGCATATGCGTAGAAATTTCTCCAATTTAAGGGGGGGAGTGCTTCCACTCATTTTTTTCGACAAATTTGTACAGCACACTTTGAAATATATACTTCAAGCCTCTTTTTGGTTTCAGGATCCGTAGTTTTTGAGAAAAAATTCTTTTAAGTTTCGCATAGGGTTTTTGCCCAATTTCTAAAATTTCCATAAATATTTCATTTTTCGAGATAGAACCATGCATCTTTCGTCGGTTTCAAACTGAAAAGTAAAAATTTTATTTATATCTTAAAAAGCGGGCAAAACAAGCCGAAAAAACTTAAAAATTTTTTTCTCAAAAGCAGCAAGTGTGCAAACTTCCAAAATTTTTTCATATGTATTTTGAAGAGTCCTCAACAATCTGACGAAGTTTGAACCAAACTGAATGGGAGGATACTCCCCTTAAATACAGTTTACAGCCCCGAAAAATAACGACAATAATACTCTTGGACACCTATATTAATTCTTGATGCATATATATCTATAGATATACCATCTATAGCTAGTTCCTGGAAGAAAATGATTTGCTCACCATATTTGAAATGCAGAGCTTTTAAATGAATTTTTTGTAAGCCAGAATCACGTTGGTTTATGATGCCATCAAATGTCAATAACGGTGGTCTACAATATAGAGGAGATGATATTATTATGTATATATTGAATAGAAAATTGTTCAACAACTATCATTAGCGCAAACAAATGATAATGAAATAGAACGTACATTAAACAATCATACATTCGTACATAAAAATCCAATTTGAATTCTTGTTGAATATAACCGTTGTATTTAACTGAGCCTTGGATATGTTGTACACCGCTACCTTCGAAAAACGATTGAGGAATTTCTATCCCTATAATGAAACGTATTCTGATGATAAAATGGTTTTTCAATGAAAACTAAAACACCGAAGAACTTACATTTGGTCCATGTTCCCGTGTTACTATTATTGATCCATATTAGTTGATGCCATATTTCAGGTTCATACCAACCAGTTGACATAAATGGTTTGTAAAGAAAATCTACATGAGTGAAGAAAGTATCAATTACCTTGTATAAAAGAAAATGAAAAATATGTTTACCATAATTCTGGTTTTTCTAAAAGGGAGAAATACACAATTATCTTGAAGTCTTTTCATAGTTAATTTTAGAATGAAAAAGTAGTCACCGTCTGATGCCACTGGCTATTCAACAAGAGATGGTGTTGTGTGTAAAGGGTATCTAGAAAACGAAACAGAACGTCTATTTAGTATGTGTAATTGAACACTAGTTTCTCTTAAACAATTGTGTACTTTAATTAGTGTGAATTTCCCATGCTGTCGAAACTGGACGAAAACCGGTGGTTAATCACGGTTATTTTGAGAACCGTCTGTTCTTAAAATAACCATGGTTAACCGCCGGTTTCGACAACATGGATTATGATTATTAATATTTGGCGAGCAATCAGTGTAACTGCGTGCCATAACTGTTCTCTTACAGAAGTAACAAAGAATAGAATAGCTTTGCGCAGACAATTCAGTGTGTTTTTTTACATACTATTTTTTTCATAGGTGTTTTCGCTACTAAGTCTGTCATGTTCCGCAAAGTATCTACAAATTCTGATGATAATTCTTACCAGCAACTGTAAACTCAAGTTGATATCGTTCTGATAGGTTGCCTCTGTATGGCACACAATCGGACGAATTTGGTTTGCAAAGACCAAACACCAGAACACTTGCTTCTCCTTTTTCTTGAAGTGCATTCATATATGGACGATAAACATTAATTCCAAATAGAAAATAGAGATCTGCGTTGTTCTGAAAATGTGTTTGTATGTCTGTAACAGTATAGGTTCGATCTTTACATCTGGAGTTTGATGCTCCTCTGTAACATTCGTCATTGTATGACTCAACTGAAACTACACTCAAAACACTAAAAATTGACATAAGAGAAAACATAATCACTGTTTCATTCTTTTACTACGATTTTTTCTTCGATCGGTCATATCATCTGTCTGTAATTATCAAAGACGCGTTCGTTATTACCGCCAT